AGAAACAAGCGGTTTATTAAGAAACCGCAATCTCCCATCAGGGGAGATTCAAACCAAAAGCCATTGTCAGATGACGATGAGGATCAACGTGATCCGGCATTAGCAACCACCTCAGGGCTGGCCCCTGAAGGTTTTAGAAACTTATGTGGAGTAAGTGCGGGGCCTAATACCCCTAGAACTCCACAACATACTAATCTAACCCAAGCTGGGGAAGATCCTTCACCTCCTCACGAGGTGATTGACTTGCGTGATAAATGTGTAAGCACCGAACGATCAGCCCAAAAAGCTGATCGGATAGAGTCGCAGGAAACTCCAGGGCCCAACTATCCCCTGGAGTCCTCCCTCATGTCCCCAAGTCAAGCCCCAAAGGCAGACAAAGGGAAACAAAGGGAAGAGCCACCGCACTGGCTATCCAAAAAACTACTGGACTTGTTCCAGGTTCTGTCCTCCATTCGGATGGAAAGCGAAGACCAACTTCTTCTCAGGCTGAAAGCCCGAGAAGGTGCAATGATACACCCTGAGAGCAGGATCTCCCAGAGTGCAGAAGCTCCAAAAGAACTTCCGCTGTTCACACTCCCCACACCATGCCAGACAAGGCAAGGTTGCCAACCTCGGAGGAGGTCTCCAAGATAATGAAGAGGAGGCAAACTGAAATGAGGGAGTTTGCTGAGGAAGCCTTACGGAACAGTAAGGAAAAATCAGCAAACAGACCCCTCTATGAAAGGGAAGCACCCTCCACAACGGCCTCACCTAAACAAAGCGAGCATGGAGTGTTCACTCCAAGAACCCCTTCTGGAACCTGTCAGAGACCGGATTCGAGACGAGGGAGTGTCTCCGTAGCGGAGGGCTTCGGCCTCAGCGACTTCTGCCAAGAGCGCTGTGCCTAGTGACACGTCCGTGCCCTAACTTACTGACTGGCAATCAGAACCTAAGGGGGTAACTCTAGTTGATTTTATTACTGGAGTGTAACCTATGTACAAGCGGGATATATATATGGTTACAGCAAAGACGGGTCCGCAATTGGCAGAGCCGAACAGAGCGGAGCTAACAGGGATAAACATTAGCCAACTGAATATTACCAACAAGTCAGGTCACAGGGTTAGCGGAATGGCAGGCGATAACCCAGAAACGGAAAGGAGGGATAAGCCTGAAGGTGGGCTCTGCAGGGCAGGCGATTGTATTGCCCAGCGGAGGCGGGGGTGCACTAGCGGACGTCGGAGCTGTCCGGAAGTCTTCGGGGCTCCGTACTTAGGGAGGCGTAGGTAATAAATTGGAATGAGGGGGTGGTGACCATCGAGGGGTACCGAGGAATACGGGAACTCCGAGGTTAGTGAAGGAGGAACGGAGTTAGACCAGAGGGAACAGAGGGGCCGGAAGTTGATGGCCGGGGATGGATATGACAGAACCCCCAGAAGCAGCAATGTCAACTGGGGAGAGTCACTGCTAGCCCAACCAAACTTCCTCCTGGAAAACCAGGAATCGCGCATAATAAACACGATAAACTCGATCCAAAAAAAGATCAAGGAAACAAACCACAATAGTATGGCTCGTCTAGAGATAACTCTAGAAAGAATGGCCAACGCAATCGACATGTTGACTGAAAAAATCAGCAAACAGACGGACTTGCTGAAGGAAATAAAAAATTCACGAAAAGAACCACCAGTGAAAGCACACTGGAGTATCATCAGCAACTCGACAGAGACGCTAAGGAGATCCTTCTCCCAAGGATAGGAGGAGACAATGCCGAAAGAAGGCATCATTCAGAAATTAGGAGGAGAATTGGCACGTACCAAAGGTTTGGCCAAACTGTCAGGGCACACCCGCCTGACCCGGCCCCACCTGTTAAACTGAGAAGCGCGATACGTCTATTGTGATGTATGTACGTAGTGATGGGTGGACTTACCTGAGAAGCGCGATACGTCTATTGTGATGTATCGGCTCTCAGTGCAAGTCCTGTCCTTATATACATTTAATGTCAGTTCTACGCCACTGAAGTGAAACGCGTGCGGTACCCAAAGCGTGAAAACAAAGGGCCAAAGCGACATTATGTTCTCCGTCGATTGCCCTAAAAGTGCCTCCTTCCCAAAGCTCTCAAAGCGCGAATGTACGGTCCTAGGACCGCCAGTGGCGTCGGGCTGTAACTTCCAACACCACCCGGCCCCACTTCGCCTGGTACCCCGCCACCCAGTCTTCCCCTACCTCCTCCCCCCTTCTTCTTTCTTTCTTTCTCCATTCCACTCTCTCTTTACCTATTTCACCTTCTCTTTATTTTCTCTTTATTCTACACAGACGACCTTTCCTTGTATCAATGTACCATTGACCCACCCACAGCGCGCTCACGACATGCCCAGCCCAGGCGCCCCGGGTGACCCCTGCTATGTCCAGCTCGCGCGTTGTTGTGGGGACAAGTCCGTGCAGGTCAAACCAACCCTTATCACGCATTTCACCCCCTACTGCATCAGGGACTAGGATTGGTGAGTCATGGTAATAGTAGAAGTTGTAGATACTGTGGAGGTGGTTCTGACGAGTCCAAGATCGTCGGATTTGGTGGAGTGGTTGAGGAGATATGACCTTTTCTTTATTTTCCTTATTATTTTCATTCATTCACACATGTGACTTTCCTTTTATATTTGTATCGGACTCTTCGATGACAACTGTACAGACAGTTAGTTAGAGGTTAGACAGAGAGTATCAGCACCGTACTTGCAGGACCCACATCTACCCTGAGAGATAGAGAGATACCTACCCCCCCTAGACCTGAGCCACGAGTCTAGATTGATAGACCCGTTACAAATCTGGTGGTCCTTACAGGGGGGGTACACTTCTCTTCATCACAATCACGCAAGTTCACGCTTTTCGTTTGTTTGGAAATTGATCATTTTGCCGTGGATATCGAGTATCTACATCATTGGTTACAGACACAGGTCAAGAACAGTACAAGTTTTAGGGATCCACACAGGACCACCCAAGCTACCACTACACGCACGCACGCACGCACGCACGCACGCAGATTTGCCCGAGTTTTTGTTTTCCTGGCGGACCTCAAGACGAGGCACAGGATATTGAAGTTTGTTACCCAAGTTGTCCCTCCTGGAGGATCTCAAGAAGAGGCACAGGAGTCCGTGTTTGGGATCTACGAGTTACGGATCCGCACGGTTACACAAGTTTACCCAAGTTATCACAATCATTGCCTCCTGGCGGACCTCAAGACGAGGCACAGGAGTTCCTTTGTTCACTGCTCAAGTCGTCCCCGTGCTGTTTCACCCGAAAGTTGTACCAAGTTGCCCTCGTTTTACCCAGCGATATACTCGTTTACCCCCGTTCCTTCGATTGCCGGACATCCAAGAAGCCGTTCCAAGTTTCCGCGTGTTTTGTTAACCTTTCAAGATGGCTGCAAGTTTTGCTGTTGCAGCGCCGATGTCTTACATTCCAATGCCTAGCCCATGGTCTAGAGATGCCCCAAGGTTCAATGGCACCAAGTTGAAGAAGTTTTTATACGAGTTCGAGCTCCAGACAGCAGCCGCGCGCCTCGCAAATCAATTGAAATGCGATTATGTTGTGTCCTACTCCACAGACAAGGAAGCCACGTTTATCCGGACCCTTGATAGCTACGAGAATAAGGACTGGAACGCGCTAAAGAGCGACCTGCTCAGTTTCTACTCAGATGAGCAAGAAGACCACACATATCACACGAGAGATCTCCGAAGATTTGTTGAAAAGAGGCGGAAGATCAAGTGCCATGAAGATTTCGACAATTACCGCCGCCGTTTCCAAGTTATTGCCAGACCCCTTGAGCAGAGGAATGCACTCAATGCAGGCGACAAAGACGACTACTTTTACCGTGGACTTAAGCCAACCCAGTTCCGCAGACGAGTTAAGCAAGAACTCAAGGCCCGCAACCGGTGGATCGATTTGACCCGCGCTCCTCCCATGGACTACGTTGTTGTGACAGCTAAGGAGCTCTTACAATGTGATTTGTACCGCGTCGAGGAGTCCGATGACGATTCAGACTCAGCAAGCAAGTGTTCCTCTGAAGATTCTGATGATTGCAGCGACAAGACAGTTAGCGAGGATTCCAGATCCGACTCAGAAGTAGAGGCTGTGTCCTCATCGCGTCGCAGAACGGCTAAGGCAGTCAGGAAGAGATTCAAGTCCAGAGCTGCTGAGGCTAGTGAAGATGCCGAGGTCATTGAGACCAAGACAGATGTCGCGAGCCCCCAGGACACCGCCAATATGGACGATCTTGCAGAGCGCGCGAACACATTGACAGTCAAATCAGTGTGCCTTACAGACAGGCCTCGATTTACCCGGTCTACTGATGACCGATGCTCCATGTGCGATGGCATAGGCCATTTTGTTCAAGATTGCCCTGAGACAAGTGCCGCTGGTGTACTCAGATACGACGCGTTTAATAAACTGGTCATGGCTGATGGGTCTCATCTTCCACGCGCCCCCAATGGAGGGGGAAAAGTTCATTTGATTCACGAGGCTGATATGCGTTCCAGCGCTGCAATACCTGAGTGGACACGCGAATATGAACAAGTTGATCAAAATTCTGCTAATCTACAATATGGTACCGTGCCAATTGACTACAGCTCTGACACCGGCGAGTCCGCCTATGAAGTTTCTCATTTGGAATGTATGGATGACGCGCTAACACTACCCGACGCCGAGCCAACCACCCACGAAACAGCCCTCCATGATGTCCCCGACTTAGATTCGCGCTCTAATGACGATGACTCTTGTGAAACGACCTATGACACCTCCGACCTGGATTTGCACCCCAATGATGAGGATTTTGGTGGAACAGTTTATGACATCTTCGATCTGGACTCGTATCCTGATGATGACGAGAGCCTTTGTGAAGCCGAGCCCGTTGCCATGTCCGAAGATCCCATTGAACCAGAGCTCAATCATAAAGAGCTAGGGCCTCACGGCCTCGAATCGACCGACCTCGTTTGCCGAAATGAAGTCGAGGAGCCCCAGCCGATCGGGTCCTATCATGAGTTTCGCCCGGCTAACTACAGCAAACTTTGCCGCACGAGATCACGCAACAAGGCGTTTGTCCCCAAGCCGTTGCTGCTGGTTGAACGGATTATCCCAGCCAAGGCAACTAGAGTAGTGCCGACGATGTCGCTTGATCAAGATAATGCGAAGTTACCCCCGCGTGCGCTGATCCTCACACCCGAGACATGCAGAGTCAACCAGGCGAGGCTCAGTGATAGCCGAAGTCCTGTTCCACAGAGTGCCCCACGTCACTCAGAACCAGCCGTAGCAGTCGGCCATGTCAAATGCCTAGTTGAGATACGCCGCGAGCATCAGGCTGAAGCCCCATCCAGAGCCGAGTCCGAGTTGCCTAACGATTTAGAGTTGTTCATCGATGAAGACTGTAACGACGCCGAGACCCCTGTTGAGCTTAGGAACACCAAGTCATCGAGTCCAGAGGTGACTCGTGCAGTGTTGTGGTATTCGAGTGACCCACATGAGTTGTACAACGCTAGCCAAGATGTTGAAGCGCCCGGCAATGCTAAGACGCTGCATGCGGAGCCTGAGCTAGACGAAGGCTATATTCCTTCACCCGAGAAAGATCCGGATAAGACCTTAGAGACGCAGCACGGTCTGGGCAGCCAGTCGGCCCAACTTGTGCGTGAGCCTGGACAAACCAGAGGCCCAGCACTCCCAGGTCACCGAGTTCCCTGGTGACACCCGAAACTCTCGATGCCGGAGGGTATCTTGTTCCGAGCATAGACCCTCCCTCGCCTTAGTTTAAGCCGACGTTTAATCAATTTCCAACACTCCTTCGAGTTCTTACATGTGTTCTTATGATTTCCGAGGAGTCCAACTTTTGCGCTTATTTCTTGCATGCGAAACTACATCGTCATTTGTGTCTGAGCTTGATTCTACATCGCGTATCGAAAATTACACGTCGAGTACAGGAGTTTACAAGTGTATTTGAGTCGGACGCGTCTTTATTCCTCGATATCGCGACATCCGAACCCCTTCCCCTAGCCAGACGACCTTCATTCGAGTTGTACACGTTAAACCCACAATCCTTCCACTTTCTATTCGATTTTCCCCTAGTTTTCGCGCTGGAGACGTCGATGAAGCCCCCCAAGTACAGAATATGATCCCGCGACCTCACAGCGCCAGAGTACAGTGAGCTCAAGTCAAAAGAGCTAAGGCCTCCCGGCCTTAGCATCAAGTTACCGTCTGACGTCGATCCCGAGCCCGCGCGCGCGCGATTCCTACCGAGGCAGCGCCGACCCCAGCCATTGTATGCGACATGAGTACCCCCAGCGCCGCCAGTTCAAGCCCAAAGAGCTAAGGCCTCCTGGCCCTAGCTTCGAGTCCCAGCAGTTGATGACGGTCCCGAGCCCGTGCACGAGTGACACACGCCCCAGCCAGAGATAAGTTGAGTCCAGTACACGACCACGCTGAGCACAAGCCAGAAGAGCTAAGGCCTCCCGGCCTTAGCGACGGATCCATTCGTTTCGAGCGCGAAGTCGATCGCATGTTGGATATGCGAAGTTCTATGCCGGTGTGGGCGAAGTTAGTCATTGAACTCGCGGGTTAGCTAAGGGAGTAGAAACGGGGCGTACTATTGTGCCCAATCCTCCCATTCGACCAATGGTTCTCCAGTGGGTGGCAGTGCGCGCGCGGTAGCGCGATGTTGAGTTCTGGCATAGGTTGGCATGATGGTGGCAAGGATGAGGTGAGGTTGGTTAAGTGCCGAGTTGTTGGCGGAGTAAGGCAACTTCGTCACAGCCCATGTGTCCGTGTGAAAGCTCTGCCCACATGTGATCTTCCTGGTCCGGATGGAATTCTGCGGTCACATGGCATTCAACACCGCGCGGAGTGGGGACTTACCTTTCCTTGTGACGAGTATCCTTTCTTTGGTGTTTCTTTTTGGGAGATTGCAAGGGACTGCAATCAAGAGCTAGGCCTGTATGTTGTGGGGACAAGTCCGTGCAGGTCAAACCAACCCTTATCACGCATTTCACCCCCTACTGCATCAGGGACTAGGATTGGTGAGTCATGGTAATAGTAGAAGTTGTAGATACTGTGGAGGTGGTTCTGACGAGTCCAAGATCGTCGGATTTGGTGGAGTGGTTGAGGAGATATGACCTTTTCTTTATTTTCCTTATTATTTTCATTCATTCACACATGTGACTTTCCTTTTATATTTGTATCGGACTCTTCGATGACAACTGTACAGACAGTTAGTTAGAGGTTAGACAGAGAGTATCAGCACCGTACTTGCAGGACCCACATCTACCCTGAGAGATAGAGAGATACCTACCCCCCCCTAGACCTGAGCCACGAGTCTAGATTCATAGACCCGTTACAGCGTTCACAGCGGACACCCTCGGGATCCCCCACAGGGACACCCGGGTGACTACGGCTGTATGCGAGGATGACGTGGCACCCGTCATGTGACCTAAGCCGCATGTATATAAACATACCTGAAGTGGGAACCGAAGAAGTAGCCTTCTTCTCACCCTTTTCCACTTCAGTCTAAGTGGCCAGGGACTGCCTCCTGAGCCGGGCCTGCCAGTACGCACGCCCGCTCCACACCCTGCAAGGCTTCTAGTGTCGGGCATCTCACCTGGGCCTCCTCTACCCCGGACGCATCCCTGACACAAACATCCACTTACGACAGACCTCTCGAACAGAGAGGTAACTCAACCACACTCTCTCAAAACAATGAGAGAATCCAAATACAACTTCAGGCGAATTCGCCTGAAACCAAAGAAATGCTGCGAGGAAGACTTCCCCCAGCGAAAACCCCCCCAAAGGAGAGATCTCCATTGGATAGTGACCCTGCAAAGGCAGGGGAGCAAGAGGAGTACCTGGAGAAATGGTACGAAAAAGCCATAAGAATGGCTGAAGTGAGAATACTCACTCCCTACCCAGAAGGAGTGAAGCCTGAAGCCCTAAAAAATGGGCCGGCATTCCCTGACAAGAAATGGTCAGGGGAGAACGACATGGAATCATTCTGGCAGTGGTTCACAGAACTACTGGGATTCCTCGCTTCGCAAGGATGCAAAGGTCCCCAATTCGACGAAGTCCATCTGGACTGCTTGGTTTGTGGATTAGGGGGACCTGCATTCGACCTCGGAATAAGACTCCAAGACGAGACTCTCCTCAGAGGAGACGAGGGCATGTTCCTCGAAGTTCTCAACATATTGATGAGAACTTTCATTAAAGCCTCTGCCATGTTGAATGTGACAAAGAAGTACCGCAACGTCAAATACGAAGCGGAAAAAGGCCTAAAACAGTTCTACCCAGAACTGTCCAAAGCAGCATCCCAGATGGTGATGCCACCAGACCAGGCGTCCTTCAATGCCAGGTTCCTAAACTACATTCCCCTTGAATGGAAGAGGGAAATGATTGCTCATGATAGAATCAGAGCAGACTTCTCCTCAAACAAGGAAAGGTTAAAAGCAATATCTCGTGTAGACAAGATAATCAATGGGCTGAAGATGTCTTCAGCCTACAAATCAGGATACTATACCCGAACAACTACCACAGCAACCACGAGCTGTGGCAGAGCCCTCCCATCAGGAAAGAAGGCTGAAGAGCCAAAACCCAGATGGAAAGAGGATACATCCTTGAAAAACTCGAGGAAAACTGACCAAAAGTCAGTTCCAATTTGCAGCAAATGCGGCAAAATAGGGCAAACGAAAGATTGCCCAAGACACAATGCAATGAGTGAAGAAAAACCAAGGTGCATAGCTGCCATGGAGATCGCGACCACAACAGAAGAAGAGTCGGAAGACTCATTGAACAAAAAACCAGAGAACAACTCTGGTAACTCCGGAGCACCCATACGAAGGACCTCAATACTCACCCAACTCAGAGGGTGAGGAAGTCAACGTTGGGACCATAAGGATGGGCCCAATGTCAGTCGTCGATCATGACAACATAAATTACAAAATCAAACTGGCTGTAGCACACCAGTTAGAAAACATGGCAGATGAAAAAGTTGCCGAAGCCTTGGTGGAAGCACCAAGAAAAGATGCCTTGGGGAAATACACCAAAGTACCCAAGGAAAACAAGGACAAAGGGAAGAAGGACCAAAAGTCCATCGAAACCCAGTCCCCCTTGTTTGATGCGAAATTTCGCATCTCAAAAGATGCGGGTAAATACCCCACAAAGAGAATGCTGATGGCTCACATAAAAATAGCAGGCATAAAAGCCTATGCGCTATTTGACAGTGGAGCCGAAACGGACACTATATCGCCGGACTTTGTCCACACGGTCCACATCCCAATTCTCCAATTGGAGAACCCAGTCGTCCTTCAAATGGGGACGAAAGGAACAAGATCACAGATCCTGTTCGGAACAAATGTGGATGTTGAGATCAATGGCCACGTAGGAAAACACTACTTCGATGTAATTAACATCGATAGATACGATGCCATATTTGGTGCCCCCTGGTTAAACAAAAACCAGGTAAGCTTAGACTTCCAGTCCCACAAAGTGAGAATGGTGAACAAGGGCAACATAGATACCCTTGGAGTAAGCGAAGACCGTGTGACGAGATCACACGGATGGAAACTCGAGCAAGAGCCCAAGAACAACCAAAAAAGAAGCCCCCCTGACAGGGAGGCAGGATTGAAACACACCTCAGGGTAATCGAAAGAAAGTACCCTGAAGGTTGGCCCAATCCTAGTCCGGAAGGACTAGAACTCCCAGACGTACCACATCTGGAAGGTCTCTCCATGAACAACCCCGAGTTCGAAATACTCAGGGAGTGGTGGAGAGAGAAATTCAAAACCATAATGGTGCCAGTGCCATTAGAAATGCCTCCATGAACCATCGAATCCCGTTGAAGGATCTGAACAAGAAATTTCGGGAAAACACCCCAAGATGTCCTGCAGCACTGCAGGAAGCACTAGCGACCAAAATAGATTGCTATGTAAAAGCAGGATGGTGGTATCCTGCAAACAGTGAGCGAGCATGCCCACTACTGTGTATCTGCAAAGCAGATGGATGTTTGCGCACGGTAATAGATGCGAAGAATCATAACTCAAACACAATCCTCAACGTCACACCAATGCTGTTAGAATGGGGCTGATACAGACGACTCGGGAGTGGAATCGGAGACTTAGCATGGAGGGACCTTGGCCTCAGTGACTCAAGCGGAGCGCTGTGCCATTGCTGTTTGTCCATTTGGTCCTTAATTTCACAGTAGGTGAGCAGGAAGTCTCTAGGGGGCATTTCAGGTCGATTTCGGACTGAACCCAAAAACGAGTATGTACAAGCACCGATATATAATGGAAGGGGCAAAAGCACAAGGAAACAAAGGGGAACCGAATCGGAACAAAGACATCCGAACGGGAACAAAGGGTAGAGGAAGCGGAGCGGTACTGAAGGTCATAAGGCAGGACCTGTGATACATCCAAAAGGAGGTAGGGAGGGTGAGGCCCAGAGGGGCAGGAGGATGAGGAGAAGTGGGAATGATGACTAACTGGCTAGAATGGGAAGAAGCAGTAGTCCAAATAGGGATGAGGGGTAAACGCGAGAGATACATTACAGGCGGTGAAAGTGCCGAAGGCGATCCGCAAAGCTCGGAGGTTGTGGAGCTTACGGAGGTTACGGAGGTGGGGTTGA